TCACAGTAAACATCCCATTTTTCTCAAGGTGCCAAGCCGGGTAGTCCTCCACCTCCCAGTGAGGAATCCTTATCTTAAGTATAGCATCTGCATCCTCAGTATGCAGTAAGTGTCGTACCAGACGCTCATCCCATGATTTCTCTCCCTGCTTCCACAGCTCCTTAACAAATGTTAATCTGTTCCAATTCCTCTTCTGAATAGGTGACAACCTCCCTTCATGAGGTACCCAACAGTGCCTCCAAATCTTAATGCTTTGTCCATCTCCAACCCGCCAGATAATGCCCTTTCTTAGAAGCTCCAGCCCATGCACTATGCCTTTCCAGGAGGGAGACGATTCGGTAGGGAAGGCTGTGTCAAGTAATGCTCCGTTGGGATAGTATTTTGCTTTAAGCACCCTAGCAGCTAGGCTGTCCGGTTTAATCAACAGTCTCCATGCTTGACGAGCGAGGAGAGCTTGGTTAAAACATTTCATATCTCTGAACCCCAGCCCTCCAAAGGATTTAGGGGATGTAAGTTTCTCCCAGGCTACCCAATGTACCTTTGGATATTCTTTATCATGCCCCCACCAGAAGTTTCGCGCCAACTGCATATAGTAATCGCAAAAATGTGACGGCATTTTAAAAATCCCCATAATGTAGGTGGGTAATGCTTGCGCTACACTCTTTATCAGTACTTCCTTCCCACCAGCGTAGAGATACTTCTCCGACCAATCTGTTAGGCTTTTCGTGAACCTTTCACCAAATAGGTCTGGACTCGGGCCGGGCGGCCCGCCCCGGAACCGGCCCGGGAACCGGTCGGGGGCGGTTCGGGTCGACCCGGCCCGGTATTCCAGCGGTTTCGGTCTCGGGCCCTTCAAATGCCGAACCAGCCGGGCCGGGCCGGGCCCGGTTCGGGCCTAACGTTTTTTTTTTAATTTTTATTTTTTTTTTAAAATAAATTGGGGGGCATCTAGCCGTTGGGAGACCTCCCAAACGGCTCTATAGCCGTTGGAGGGGGTGGGAGGGGGGTCCAGGGGTTTTGGGGGATAAAAAAAAACCTATTTATACTCCTATTTTCTATACATTTTTTACACTTCTTCTCCAATTCTTCCTACTCTCTAATTATCTATTCCCTCATACTCTTAAATCATAATCATCTCCATCTTCATCTTCTCCAAACCTCTCTACATATATATATTATTTATATAATTATTATATCTACTTATATATTAATTATCTACTTATATACCTATATTATATTACTAATATTTATTATCTACTTAATATATATTTATTATCTTCTTAATATTTACTTTGATATCTACTTATCATCTATACTTATTGTTATTTACTTATATATTAAATTATTAATTATCTACTTTACATACATATAGTATATTACTTATATTCCTTATCTACTTAATCTCTACCTATTATCTACTTATATATATTAAAGTATTATATGTAAGTGTATTACTCATCTTATAGTAATATACTTATATATTATATACTATAAACATTATATTATATATTAGTTATAAAATAATCTACTTATATACCTATATTATATTACTAATATTTATTATCTACTTAATATATACTTATTATCCACTTATACATCTCCATCTTTTTAATATTTACTTTGTTACTTATATTTATTGTTATTTACTTATATATATATTAAAGTATTATATATAAGTGTATTACTCATCTTATAGTAATATACTTATATATTATATACTATAAAAATTATATTATATGTTAGTTATACAATTATATTAGTTACACTTGAATTCATAGTAATTAAATTCATCGTATTAGTTAATTTTTACATTTTTCATTAAAGTATAAAACTAGTTAATTGTTACATTTTTCATTCAAGTATAAAACTAGTTAATTGTTACATTTTTCATTCAAGTATAAAACTAGTTAATTGTTACATTTTTCATTCAAGTATAAAACTAGTTAATTGTTACATTTTTCATTCAAGTATAAAACTAGTTAATTGTTACATTTTTCATTCAAGTATAAAACTAGTTAATTATTAAATGTTGCATTAAATTATAAACTAATAAAAGTAGTTAGTTTTATTAGTCTCATTTTATTATTACTATTGTACTCATATTAAAACATTTGATATCATATAATATTTGTTACATTTTAAAGATGGACCGTGCCAGACATTCCGCAGATGTGGGTAGTTTCCAACGGAACCGAAGGAAGGAGATTGCGACAAGTCATCCTAGTCTACGCAAAGGCAAAGGTAAAGGGCGGGCCGGGTATTCTTCTCAAAGTCGAGAAGATTTTGATGACGGATACCAAAGGTGAGATGGGGATGCGATGTCCGACGAGCAACTACAACAACTTTTGGCGCAAAATGATGGTCGCTTTTTCCAACAACAAAACATCCCGGAGTCCATTGATGAAGAGGAGCTTGAGGATGACGATGCGGAGGAGGACGAAGGGGGCGACGGGACATGGCATCCCGGATGATGAGCAAGAGTTGGAGGATGAGGGCGGTCCATCCCAAGTTGGTAAGAAATCTAAATCTCCTATTATAGAAAATAAATTTACAAAGAGGAAAGACCCAAAAACCGATAAATGGTACACAAGTTGCGATCATTGCAAGAAGGAGTATAGCTTGGGAACTTCCGGCGGATACGGGAGCCTCAAAAGGCATCTTAAGTCCGCGCACTTGGTGGAGTATGCGAAAATAGGCAAAGGGAAGGGGAAGCAAACTCAAATATCGAGGTTTGCAAATGACCAACCTTTTGGCAATTTCTCATACACTGATACACAAAATTTGACTAGTATGGCTAACTTACTTGTTGAAGAAAATTTGTCTTATTTATTTTCTGACATTTGTTACTATTTGTTCTGACATTTGGGAGGATACTTATCATAATTTACATTATTTGGGCCTGACTGCACATTTTATTGATAGTGATTGGAATTTGCATAAACGTGTTCTTGCTTTTCGTGAATTTAATGATCGTCACACCGCTGGACATATTTATATTTTGATTGAACATATTTTAACTGAGTATAATTTGATTGATAAGGTGTTTGCTATAGGTTTTGATAATGCTACTAATAATACTGCTGCTATACCTAGATTGCGTGAATTATGTGGTTCTAATACTTTGATGGGTAGATTTTTTCATCAACGATGTGCATGCCATATTATAAATTTATGTGTGCAAGACGGTATAAAAACATTAGGAGATGCATGGAGGTAGTCAAGGGGGGATTAGACGTATTTGCAAAATTAAAATGGTCAACTTAAATTAAAATGACAAAATTATTTGATTGAAAGAGGTGTGAAATATGTTGCTTTCCCTAAAGATTTGTCTATTCGGTGGAATAGTACTTATAAATTAATTAAAGTTCTTCTTAGATATAAAGAACATTTTCCTGCTTTTTTAAGACAATATGATAACAATATTTTAAATCCCGCTCACATCGACACTTGCGAAAAAATTTGTAATATTTTGATATATTTTAATAATGCAACTGAAAGTTTTAGTCATGCTTATAAACCTACCTCAAACGAATTTATTCGTGAAGTTGTTAATCTCGCCGGTGCTTTTAATGAATTTGAGAATGCCGCTTACGTGAGTTATTTTTGTGGTTTTATGAAGGAAAAGTTTTTAAAATATTATGCACATATTCCGCATATTTATAGTATTGCATTTATTCTCGATCCTCGTTATAGACTTGGTAATTTGGAAGAATGTTTGAAGTTCTATTATCATGCTTTTTTTGGTCTATTTCCAATGTATGATGATAACGGCCATAGACCCGCAAGTTGAATACAACGTGGGGTTAGTAATTTATTTTATGCCTTATTTAATGAGTTTCGTTCACAATATGACAACGCGCCCCCTCCCCCGACACACACATCTTCATCTAAAGGAAAATCACTTTTTAAATCTGCTTTTGCCAATCTTATGAAAAAACCTAAAACAACTCACACTACTGAACAAAGCGCACTTAATGAGATTTCTTTGTATATAAATTATGAGGTAGAATTTGACGAAAATGAGGAGTTTGACGTTCTAAAGTGGTGGAAGTCAAAAGAAAGAATGTTCCCGATTTTGGCACGGATGACTAAGCAAGTGCTATCAATGCCGGTTTCAACAGTTGCCGTGGAACAAGAATTTAGTTCGGCCGGCAACGTTCTAACGACATCTAGAACGAGTTTGAGCGCTGAGTCTCTTGAGACGCTTATATGCTACCACGATTGGTTGAAGGTCATACGTAGATGTCAAGAAGTTAGCATCACTCCCTCCCAAGACTTTATGGATGAATCAACAACCGAGGGTGGCTCCCATGCCGGAGATTCTGATTGATTAGTATTTTACAGTTTATTATAAAATGTACTTCATGTTTTAATTTTTCCTTCAATTCTCTATTGTAATTTGTAAAGTTGTATTTCATATTTCAAATAAATATACATTCTTTTTTTTATATGTAGCACTTCTCAAATTAATTAATTAATTAATTGGTTACAAACTTACAACTTAGAATTTATTGTATTAGTATTTTTTGAAAAATGTATTTCATATTTAAGTTGTTTTAAGAAGATAAAAAAAAATATATAACCTAGGCCCGACCCGAGCCGGGGGTGGCCCGGCCCGGGACCCGGCGGGTGACCCAGCCTGAACCGGGCGAAGGACGGGCCGGTTCCGGCCCCCCCCTTATAGGACCGGAGGCCCGACCGGGCCTAGGCCTGGCCCGGGCCCGGCCCGAATTGAACCGAGTCCAGCTCTATCACCAAATATCCTCATGTTGACAGATCTTAAAATGTTTCGGGAATAAGGTTTATATGTTTTTATTTATCACGGTTGATATCCAACTAGAAGTAAGACGAATAACTTTGTTTAGACAAATGAGCAACAAATATCCTCATCCTCCCCTCCATTGCAAGCAAACAAAAGTAACCCTTTCCAATGATGATTTTACTTTCTGATGCCCAACCGAAGATTGACCAAAGGTTTTCTATGTGGGCTTCCTTAGAGTCTGAATTGCATAAATTTTGCCTAAACAGGCTCAAAGGAAAGGTAGGATGGAGCAAAAAAGAGAAGTATCTTAAATGTACCTACATTAAGCAATTGATTGATAAAAAAAAAGTCACAACACTGATGTCTAGAAGACTAGAACTCCCAACAATAAATAGAGTTCTAGAGTTCTTCAATGGAAAGTAATATATACGAATACAAAACAAGCAACATGTTTGTTTTAGAAAACCATAGGATAGAACACAAATTCGGCCTGTAAATTAATGGACTGCCGGCATCAAGTTCCCATACACGACACAATGTTCAAAATCACCAATTTACAGTTACTTTCTCCTGCTCACAGCAATGCAACAGTAACTTTAGCACTTCATGCTTTAACACTTCATGATCAGCTTGTTTGGAGAAAACAATATATATCAATCAATCAATCATCATTTACCCCCAGTGCTGCAAAGGCTCCCACCTACAGTGGGGTAAGGGGGGTCGGATGTATGCAGTCTTACCCCTGTACAGAGACTGTTTCCGGATGACCCATAATGAAAATCGCGTCCGAAATTGCATGGACTAACTGTTGCTTCACAACAAAGAAAAACAGACAGTTTGGTGAGCCATTTTGCTTTATTCCATCATATTCTCAAACCAAAAAATAACGAATCTTTGGCTCTATTGAAAATGATGGAATTGTTTGGAGAAAACAATGCTTGAAGAAAATGTATGCCAAAGAATGGGAGTGTCTTCTTTTCTTACAAATTTTGGAGGGGAGTGTCAATCTAAGAGTAGTTGATTAGCAAAGCAATATGAACAATATTGTGCCGTACCATATGTAACATTATACTATGATACACAAACTTCAACACATAGATTAACTTAACAGTAAATGGCATGATCAAAGCAGTCCAAGGTTTAGCATCAGCTAAATGATACTAACCTTCAGCTACAAAAAGTAACTTAAGAGATAATGCAAGAAGGTTCAATTTTCTCCTAATTTGGCTGCTTGAACTCGTTTAGCACTACACGCCCACCATTACGCCTTCTGCTTTTTACTCCGATTATTTGGGTTTGGCATGAGTTTTATAAAAATGAATGAGGTAGTCGTCTTTTTACCAGTATAACGTACTAAAGAGAGAAAATGGAATATGTGTCCACAAAAAGTAAAGAGTTTCATTTTCATTTACCCAGTGCCGCAAAGGCTCTCACCTACGGTGGGGTAAGGGGGGTCGGATGTACGCAGTCTTACCCCTGTACTAAAGCACAGAGAGACTGTTTCCGGATGACCCATAGTGAAAATCGCGTCCAAAATTGCATGGACTGACTGATCCTTCATAACAAAGAAGCGCAGACAGTTTAGTGAGCCGTTTTGCTTTATTCTATCATATTCTCAAGCCAAAAAATAATGAATCTTTGGCTTCATTGCAAAAAGTAAAGAGTGATATGACAAATAAAAAAATAGAGAAGGGGGAAATTAAATACTACCTCCGTCCCCTAAGTTTGGGACAAGAGAAGGTGACACGGTAATTAATAAAAGTGGGTTTATGTGGTTGGTATTGAATTGATAAAGTAAGAATAAAGTAGGAATGATTTAGAAGCACACAAACTTTACCAAATAAGGTATGTGACAATCTTAGTGGAACGAACCGAAATGGTAAAATGGGACAATCATAATGGGACGGAGGGAGTAGTTAGAAACTTATCAGAGTTTTAATTAGAAACAATTTTCATAATTTTGGGACAAATGAAAAAAAAGAAAGTGTATTTGCCTCCCCAAAACACTAATTTTCATCCAATTCACTCAAAAAATCCAACAGTATCAGATGAAATACAAGAATCAATGCTAAACCTTACAATCATATACTTGCAGCAACAAAAAACCATCACATTCATCAAAAAGTTGAAAGAAAAGTTAGAAAAATAGTACTATATATTCTGGTTTAACTTCAAACACTGCAAACACGCAGGCATAAACACGCAGGCATGTTTATTAGATGCAATAGAAGAAATAATCACTCTTGTTTAAGGAATCTACAAAGAGAAGATTGAAAGAGTAGATATAAACCTTCAATAGCCTCATGAGAAGTCGACGAGTCGAATAATCCTTCTTTGAGCTGGAGATGTTAAAAATATATAAACGCATAAAATACTGTATGGCTTTGCACATAAATGTGTTCAAATAACCATATCTTCAACCTGGGAAAAGCTCCTGGCTGCTTGATGGAAGCCTTCACAGCCGCCAAAACAAACCGATCCCATGATATTTTCCCAGAACTGTATGTTTATACATGAAACCTAGTAACTAAAGAACAACCTGCCACACATGTCTATAGATGGAATTTTGAGGATAAAAGATATGACGGAGGAAACTCTGGTTTAGCAGCTAAAAACGCCATACGCAGCGGCAAAGAAAGTCTTTGGCTCTTACAAAAACGGCAACCAAAACTGGAGCAATGGGATTTAACAGAATAACGGGGTAAAAAAGCCCGTTTGATTTAACTGAAAAAGTGACCAAAGTAACATCTATTGATATTTTATATCTGTACACAGAAATAATTTATTTTTTATATTTAAAATTGTACCTACTACCTACAGATCAATGAAAATATAATACTGCATCCACTTATTTTTCCTTGATCAACTCTGCATCCACTTATTTTTATTACTTAGCTTGCTGTAATTTAATTTTCATTACTTGAAATTTTACTTTTATGTTTTAATTTTTGTCAAAATAAAACAAAGTAAAAATTTGCAAGATATATATTCATGTACAAGTTATTACATTTTTCTTAGTCAAGATAACAAGTTATTACGTTTTCCTTTTCTCAATACATTAATCAATATATTCATTCTATTCTAATATGAACAAAAAGAATAAGTGAAGAGCTACATAATTCAATCTCTTAATTTTTAAAGTAATCATACAATTATATTTACTTCCTAATGAATCATTTTTTAATAACTTCAAAAAGTACTATGCTTCCAAACCTTAGTCATGCGGATACAAAAAAATGTATGTTTTCGATTTGTTTTATCACACAGAAATACCTGTAATCAAAATATCTTGCTCCCATAGCTAAGTTTAAGTTCCTATGGAATCTCATACATGAACTGGAGCATCGCCCCCAAAATCTACCATTTGCAAGCAAAGCTCATTAAGCATTGCATATATCTTCTCTCTTTCTGGATGCTGACCATCTTGAGCCAAAAACACATGAATCCCATCTTTGCCCTCAATCCAACTCCGGCCAGGAGATTTCTTTATGCCATCCTGTCTCATCAAACCTTTGACCATCGCGAAGTCCTTCCAATTCCCAGCAGAAGCATATATGTTGCAGAGCAACACATGTGCTGCAGAGTTTGAGGGATCAATCTTCAAAACATTCTCAGCGGCCCTTTTTCCAACATCAAGATTATTGCGAGTTCTACATGCTGCCAACAATGTTTTCCACATTACAACGTCAGATTCGAACGGTGTTTGGTTTATAAAAGCTTCCGCTTCATTTATGCATCCAGCTCGGGAAAACATGTCAACCACACAAGAGCAGTGTTCTCTTGTGGGTACAATTCCATACTCGGTCTCCATTTGTTGGAACAACGCCCAACCCTCCTTTACCAGTCCAACATGACTACAAGCTGTTAGAACGCCAACGAAAGTAACCGGACTTGGTTTGACCCCTAAATCCCTCATTTCCCTGAAAAGCTTTAGAGCTTCTTCGCAAAGCCCGAACTGAGCACACCCCACAATCAAACTACTCCACGAGAACACATCAGCGCTCTCCAAACCATCAAAGAGCTTTCTGGCATTTCCTAATGATCCACATTTCACGTACATGTCGATTAACCCATTCCCAATCGCGGCATCACGGCTAAGCCCGGTTCTCAAAGCATAGAGATGTATTTGGTCTCCCATTTCTAATGATGATACCTTCCCACAAGCCCCGATTACATTGATTAAAGTGATATGGTCGGGCTTATTATCAGGAGATTTATGGAGCATTATCTTAAACAGAGAGAAAACTTCTGCCACCTCATTGTGTTGTATATGAACCGTGAGAATGGCATTCCATGAAACCAGGTCAGCATTGTGCTGAATTTCATTGAATGCCCTACAAGCACTTGGAAGATCTGAACAATTTGAATACATTGAAATCAGCGTGTTACACACTGGAATGTTTGAATCAAACCCCATCTTGATTATAAAGCAGTGTACCTGTTTTCCTTGAAACCATGTGAAGGGACAGTTAAAGGAACACAGAAGAGAACGCATAGTGAGATCATCTGGAGCCAACTCCACATGCCTCATCTGCGAAAATAAAATCAATGCTTTATTAGAATCTCCGTTAGAAGAAAAACCATTAATGATTGCATTCCAGGAGACTAAATCAGGTCTGTCTATATGGTAGAATGCAGTTTCTGCAGATTGTAATAGGCCACATCTAGCATACATATCAGCAAGAGAACAACCGGCATAAGTATCTTTCTCAAGCCCAAACTTTATACAAATACCATGTGCTTGTTTTCCATATTCAGGCTGCATAATACCACTGCATGCACTGAAAATACTGCCAAAAATAAATTCATTCAGTTGGTAAATTCCCAAACCAAACATTTCCTTAAAATGATACAGAGCTTCGAACTCATAACCATGTTGTGAAAACCCGGCGATGATTGAACTCCATGAGATCAAGTCCTTTGACTTCATATGAGAAAACACATTCCCTGCCTCACAAATCTTACAGAACTTTGAATACATTGCAACCAGTGCATTTTGAGGGATGAGATGGGACCCGTGTTTGGACTTGATGACCTGGCAGTGTAACTGCTGTGCTAGCTCTAGCTTACCCAAACTACAACAAGCTTTTAGTAACGCCCCAAAAGTGAATGGGTCAGGCATGACTCCAGACTCTCGCATTTGAAAATACAATCTTATTGCTTCCATTTCCTGGTGATTTTGGGAGTACCCAGCAATGATTGAAGTCCAAGAAACCACATTTCGCTCCAGCATTTGATCAAATACCTTTCTAGCGTCCTTCATAGAACCACACTTTCCAAACATGTTAAGAACATGATTTTGAAAGATCGTGTCAGGCTCATATCCAGACATCAAGACATGGTTGTGTAGTTCTCGTGCAGATTCTAACGACCGTAAGGATGAGCAGGCGGATAACAAGTTAGTGTAGGTGCTCGGGTATAGATAGTGATCTGTGGTCCTTTTCAAGAGCTGGAATGCCTCGAGAGCTCCTTTAAATTGCTTCCGTTTGCACAGTGAGCTAATGTAATCGTTACTCCATTTTTCGTTTATGAAGTGTGTCCCAGTGGTATGAGTAATGTTGATAGACGTTATTGTGGATAGCAGCCTATGGAGAGATTCTTTCAGAAAATTCGTTGAGCATAGTGCACGCGGACAGAAAAAGAGCATTAGAAATAACCTCTGAAGTCCGACAATATGAACTTTTGAGCAATATTGGGCAAAGGATGAAACTTAGCCTGCAAAAGAAAGAGAAGTGGATGACAAAGTCGATGAAGAGAGGCATTAGAGCATCTCCAATGCAATGGGTGCATCGGAGTTGATGTGGCAATTAAATGGAAGGAGTCTATTTAAAATTAAAGAGTCCATTCAAATAGGTCTCCAATGCTAAACAAAAAGCAAATGTAAAACACATAGGAAGCAACTTGTAGGAGAGAGAGGGGGTGAGACCCATGGTCCCAATGTAGACCTCCTCTTGGACCTTGGTCATTGCCAAATAGCATAGACCACATTTTTTTGTTTTTGCATTGGAGAGTACATTGGATCCATTGGGTAAGGTGGATGACATTTTTTTGGCAATCCACCTACCCATTGGAGATGCCCTTAGGATAGGGTGGGTGTTAAGAGCGCGCGAACAAGACCTCATCCAAGGTCGAGAATGGGAGAATGGAAGCGAACTAGGGCAAAAAGAAAGATCAATTTTCGTATCTATTATGAGCACCAGAAGAGAAACGAAAATAATAATGTTTTATTGGAATTAATTTGGTGTCTCCCAGACCAGAATTAATTCTTCCAAAAGTCCCTTATTTATCAATACTAGGGTCCCTTATATAGCTACCATCGTACCTCTAATTCTAATAGGACATAATGATAATCGGAAACTATCTAAACGTCTAAAACTGAAATAGAAAATAACAATAGTAGTCTGATTAGGAAACTAATATTCCCTCAGTCCCATTTTGTAAGATACTTATCTTATTCACTTGGTCAACACAAATCACTCTTAATCTCTTACTTTATATATCAATTTTTATTTTATCAAATTTGATCCTGGTTTTTGCGACTTTGTAAAGCTTTTAATGTAGTTTCTTAATATGTAATTCTTTTTTTCTAAAACTAATTTGAGTGCGGATAGGGATCCGTTTGCTTTATGGTCGGTCAAACATCGTAAACCGTAAAGTGCCAAAAAAATTGGGACGGAGAGAGTAGTAAATAATCTCGTTTCTCAAGCCACTTTTAGTCACCAGGGTTAGATACAGGTTCTGCTTAGGCCTCACGTGCATTGCTTGTGCCTTTGTGGCCCAATCGTCATCGCTGATAGGCACGACCCAGAATGCATCCATATCAACGGGTTGGTGGACAAAATTCGCACGGTAAGCAAAACAAATCGAACCTTAAGAAATTCAAAACCATCATCATCATCATTACCCCAATGCCGCAAAGGCTCCCACCTACAGTGGGGTAGGGGGGTCAGATGTACGCAGCCTTACCCCTATACTAAAGTACAGAGAGACTATTTCCGGAAGACCCAACGTGAAGATCGCAACGAAAATTGGATAGACTGACTGCTACTTCATAACAAGGAAACACGACAGTTTAGTGAGTCATTTTTCTTTATTCCATCATATTCCCAAGCCAAATAATAGTGAGCCATTTTGCTTTATTCTCTCCCAATTTTTCTTGAACGTTCCTATCTTTCTTTTGAAAAAACTTACTTCCTATTAATATCAATATATTTTATCATATTTCAGTGTCATTTCCAGAATATTTGAAATTCAAAAACGAATTCAAAAAATCAAATGTAGGTGTTTTGTTTTGGTTTTCACCTTTGAAACTGAACCAAACAATCCAAACTTTTAAAAAATGTTTTTATTTATTTTTTACTCATTAAGTATATATATTAAATTAATAATTTATTTAGTTCTTAATTCTTAATATTGACATTTGATATTAATGATTTAATTAAGTGAAACACTTGTACACACTTTTATTTATTATGGGAAAAGGGGCAAAAATGATAATGTTTAGTTCTAGGGGGACTGGGGAGATATGATCCTAAACTTTTTTGGGGGTGAAATAGCTTGAGGAATTATGATTTTTGACAATTTAGGCACCTCCACTCATGGTGCCGTTAGTTTTAACCTAGGCCTAAGTAAATAAGCCTCAACAAAATTAAAATTGAGCGGATGATTCTCTTCTTCTTAAACAAAAAGGAGCTAAAATGGCGTACCATGTTTTCCATCTGGCCCAACAATGGTTTAAACCTATATGTTGTAAAAACCGGACTGTGAACTGACCCGGACAGATAACTACGTCACAGATAACTACGTCACGGGTCAACTCGGTCCCGACCGGTCAGCCTGATCAACACCAATGAATAAATATATGTATATATAAGGGAAAACTGTCAATTTGGTCTTCGTACTATCACGAAAAGGTCAATTAGGTACTCGTACTTTTAAAAAATCAAACAAATTCTCGAACTTTATAAAAACGTTCAATTGAGTCCATTTGCAAGTTACTTGCAACGTCAGCAAGTCACTTGCTGAAGTGGCGTACACGTGGCGCTCCCTATGTGTGCCACATCATCATCTAATGGCTGATAGGACTTCCACATGTGCGCCATATCAGCAAAGTAATTACTGACTAGGCTGCCACATGTGTGTCACGTAAGCAGGTCACCTGCTGACATGGCAACTAACCTGCAAATGGACTGAAACGAACGTTTTTACAAAATTTGGGGATTTGATTGACTTTTTTGAGATAGTACGGGGACCAAACTGACAGTTTTCCCTATATATAATTATATAAAACATTAAAATCATTAATAGAAAAGTTATACTACTTCATAATTTTAATATTGAAAATACAATATAAGAAAAATAAAAAAAAACTACTATGTATTGAATTAAAGTATATTGGTTTTAACAAAGTTTAAAGTACAATTGGAGTTATGTGGACAACAAAACGCAACATAAAATCGCTCTAAAAAAAATGCAACATAAAATCAATTACAAAAACAATTAAAAATATTAAACAAATATATTTGGAAGATGATATACATAATTGAAAGGTATATTAATAAAATTACTTTGTATGTATTATTGTTGTGTTATTAATTAATGGGGTTAAGACAATAATAATACTAAAAATTAACAAATTGATAAAAAAGAGACCTTTTTTTAACTTCTAAAAAAGACACTAAAAAGGAGTAAGAGGACTATTATACCCCTTCCCACTTAATCCATTACTGGAGTGACTAACGTCATACAGACCAACCTTACACTTACCTAACCTGTCAATTATAATTACTCGACTCACCAACCACAATTACTCAACTCGTCAATTACACTTACAATTATCTTACCCAACTAGTTACAATTACTCGGCCCAACTAGTTACAATTAACAAGTCCAACCAGTTACAGTTACCGGGTCAGACCAATTACAGTTACCCGGTCCGACCAGTTACGGTCACCCGGTCTGACCCGTTGCAGTTACTCGGTCCCATCCCGAGAAAATGGGGACCCTATGCAAAAAAAAAAAACAGGCCTTCCTTTTCAAGATCCAACACAAGTTATTTGTGTTCAAAAACTTTTGTTTTTGATCGGTTGTGTTCAAAAACTTAAAATACAAGTTAGTAATGAACATTAAAAAAATCTTTAATAATTACAAATTTTGGGTTAAAATTTAGTTTAGCTTTTGGGTGAAATGATGAAGAGCTATAATTATAAACCTCAAGTTACCTAATAACATACTTCTAAGTAATTACCAATATCTCAATTGTTAATACTCCGTAAAATTATTATCAATTGAATTACTTAATTAATAACACTAATAAATAAACATGTAACACTATCCTAATTCAGTAATTTGTAATTGAAAAGAGAAAATTTAGAAAATGTTCAGTTGCTTACCGAGGTGACTGGAAAATACCAAGGCTGTGAGAGACAGAACTGGCGAGCCGCGGTCCACAGAGGGGCTGAGACGCAGAGCCGCTGAGGGACCCAGTCGCCGCTGAGGGCCGTGAGTCCGTGACTCCTGTAAAAACTCCTGGAGGCGGGGAGCGGTGGCGGGATGGGCAGATGGAGATTGGCGGGCCGGCGGCGAAAGAGATGGGGTTGTGTTTCTTATAATCCGTCGGTCACTCGGTCGTACTCGTTTGTCCCAGCGTCACTCCGTCGACTCCCGCTTGTGGCTGGTAGAAATGGGCTGTGTTTCTTATAAAATAGTCTGTACCCACCCACTCTTATACCCACTTTTGTACTCAGATTGGTTCATAGATACTCCCTCCGTCCCAATATAAGAGACACATTTGCGTTTGGGGACTTTTTAAGAGTGAACACTGTTTGAACACTATTTGGCACTGTTTAGACACTGTTTGGCACTGTTTGAACACTGTTTGGCACTGTTTTGTTTGCCAAAAAGGGAAATGTGCCTTTTATATTGGGACGGACCGAAAAGAAAAGTGTGCCTTTTATATTGGGACAAAGGGAGTATTATTTTGCATAAACAAAATAGTGTCTGTGAATCAGGTTTACAGGAAAAAAAACACTTCACAAACATGGTGGGTATAAGGTGGGTATAAGAGTGGGTACATCAAGCATTGTTGTTCTTATAATGACAGCATGTTTTGTCCAAAAAGCTTGCATCTCTAAAAGTTACGTAGTATATACTAGTAAGAGTTTTTCGAAAATTTAAAGATATTTTTGAGATGTTAGAGGGAACGGCATTTGGAAAAAACATGTGACTTTTAGTATATCAAATCAAACAAAATTAAGCAATCAACTTTTTATCAAACAACCAACACATTTTCTGTTTAACATCTTTTCAATCACATTTTTTTCTAGTTTATGTTGGCCTAATAATAATAAACTTGTAAAGAGCCCAAATTTTGTCTTTAATACATAAGAAGATTTAATAAGTCTAAAAATCAAAAAGAAAAATTCAAAATAACTAGTTGAGAAAGAACAACAACCAAAATTGTAATTGCTTAGCATAAAATTTTCCAGATAGATTTAGTCTTCATCATCCTCAATGATAGTAATGCATAAGCCCTTGAGTCCCTCTAGAGCCTAGGCAACAGTAACCACTGAGTAAAGTTCTTCCTTCGCATCTTCATCATCATTCCTCTTCCTTGCAATTCAGACATGGACCCTTTTCAGCACACTTCAGATCCTTTTGCTCCAAATCGGTTTGTTTAGTTTCACATCAACCCTAACATCTGTTGTTCCCATTGCTTTTTGAGCACACTTCATTATCTCCTTTATTGCCTCGGATGTCTTCTTTTCAGTTACTAAAAGCCAATAGTTACTAAAAAGCTTACAAAACTATCTTTTCAGCTAGTTGTGTCAAAAATATCCTTAAATTCTTGGGTCTAGGTTGCAGCTTAGTAATAGCACTATGGATTATTAAATTTGTGTGGGCCTTTAAAAATAATGGCCCTTGTGCAAGTGGGATGGGTGCCCTTTTTTGGGTCGGCCCTGTTCGGTCCAATAGTGACCACCGCTGGCCACTGTCGCCGGTTACCAACACCAGCCGCCACCATTCCATCGCCGTTGTCGGAATCTATCCTCACTGAATCGACGAACGACGGCGATTCAAACCATTTTTGTTATCCCATCGCCAAAAAACAGCGCCAATGGCTCCTAAATCGCCACAGAGAAGAGGAGAAGAAGATATGGTGCTTGCGCGCCGTTGTGGCGATGGTGGAGGACGATTCTGGTTGAGGCGATGGTGGGAGACGATGGTAGTTGCAGCGATGGTCGGAACCAGATAGACAGAAGGGAGAAGATCAACACAGGCAAATGCAAATGCAGATTGATAGTCAGATGCAATTGGATTGATCCGATTGCATGTTTTTGTATTTATACCAAGGAGGTTTCAGTTCATTCACACATACTTAACCTCTTTTTTGTTCAGATTTAAATTAAGTCCCATATTTGTCTAGGGCAAAGCCTGTGATCTCTTCTTTCTATCATTATTTCTTAATTGACTAGTATTTCAACCATGTGTTACATGTTTAAATTCTTAATACAGATTAGAGAAAATTGAAGGGCAAAACAACCTTGTGTTGAATTTCCTGGAGTAGTTCGTTCTCTATTTAGATGTAAACATTAAGTTTTCTAACATTTTTTAAACATCGAAAAGGAATGTTTCATAACACTTTGACTTTAGATAATCATGTGTTTATTTTTAAAAAAATTGAAATTTTGATAATTGTCTGTGTACTCAGAAAACTGAAGGGTGTGCACAAAAAATGTGTAAACTTTTGTGTACAATTAAAAAATCATATAGTTCTTGCCTTTCTCGGCATTCTCTCAAATAAAGTTCTGGTTCCGCCGCTGAGAGTGGTCACCTTTATGTTTAGCTTAGGGCAAGTCCGATTATATAGCTAGGATGTTGTATCATGACCTTCACGGTTTTAAAATAAGGCATTTTGTGTAAAAGAGAAATAAGTACACGAACTTGAAGTTTTTGCACACACACATACATATATGTATAGATAAAGGATCAAATACAAAATGGCCATAGTTTACAAGTTAGGATTGCAATGTAGTTTCAGATTTAGGTTTAATAAAGTTTTGTTAGAACTAGCGAATATTTAATAGGAAGTGATAAATATAAGGGTATAAAATGGCTCGGGAACCATATTATACCCTTATCATAGTAAAAGTTTACTATCTACCCTTATCATAGTAACCTGGTTACAAAATAAAAATTTTGGAATAAAAAGAAGATGTGTGGTGTATTTTAGCTACTGATAAAATTACACCTAACAAGTCATTTATATATAAAGTAGTCTAAATATTCTATCACTATTGCCACAGACAATAGAGATAAAACACGACAAGATGAGAAGATAGAAAAATGTTTTTTCGCCACTTCGTAGTTTAACATGATCCTTTATTTATAGATTAAGTTGTGTCTATCAATTAAAGATGTACACGCTCATAAAAATCCAGTTAGAATGCATACGTATGTAGAGTCGTAGACTATAGGGGTGGGCAAACGGGTCTTGGAACCGTGGTCCGGACACTGGTGAGCAATCCAAACTCCCAAATATTTTCAAAACTTTCTCTATATAGTGAGATTGTGTTAAAAACGCAATTATCTTTAAGAATTCATTTGAATGTCTTCCCGGTTTAAGTTTTATCTGAAATTTGAATGTTTTGATGCTAAAAAATTTTCATCAAAACATTCTACCAGGAACTGCCCCAAATGGCGACGGCCGGACAGAGCCTCCTATATAAGAACTTATTTGACCTTTTTATGTAAGTTCAAGGGCCTATGTGACCCTTTTCCCTTAAATCTATTACATTCTAAGTGTAGACAATATAAAAATAACTTTGATTCTATAATTGAAGTGATGTAGGAAAAAGTATGGATACATTTAAGTGTAAGAAAAATCAAAGGAAAATTATTTGAAACTTAAAAAGGATATACTCGTATAACATGTTATCAAATTGCAGCGGATATCCCTGAGAGGAGCAGGTGTGGGGAAACCGTAGCAATTGCCTCCTCATTTTCTCTTCTTTTCTTATCTTCTCTCAATCACCTTTAATTCAATAATGAAAAAATATATTCTTAATTAGTGTGTTCAAATTTATCTATATGTTTGTTTCCTAGTGCTGTCTAGAGATATTAATTTCGGTGGCGAAGTGTCATCTGCTAGATGTTTATTTCTCGTCATCTTCGGTCGGGTATTCTTGTGTGCTAATAAGAGGTTTGCATCGATATCGTCACCAATCAAGAATATGATTTTCCTTTGCATTAATGTTGAGACATATTGCCCCCTTCTGAACCACCACCGTTCCAGGAACAGAGCCGGCCATGAGGCCAGTTGAGGTAGGCTTTTGTCTAGGGCCTCTCAATTTAGTAGGGCCTCAATTTATTGTAATACGTACTAATAGTATGAAAATTAATTGATATTTGCTCCTCTTAGCAGTAGGCAGCCGTCGCCCAAAAACCCCAAGGACGGAAGGCCCTCGAACCCCAAACTACGCTTCCCGGATTCCATTTGTGAATCCTTGCAATACCAAATTCTATTGAATCTTTTTCTCAGCTTTATTTCTTTCTGTGGCCGTCTAATTCGCAATTCAGAAATCCAAGTTCTATCGTAGCCTTCTTGCCCCAAGCGTTAGCATTACTTAGTTCTTATTAGGCTTTACATAATATCTCCAGACCCTTCTTTTCTTCCTTCTGCAATTGGCGGCCATCAATTGGGAACTTCGGATTTTGTAGTTTAGGTTTGGGGGTCACTCATTAATCATTATTATATGCACTTTTCAACAATAACTTAATCATACTTGATTGAATTGTAATTAGTGATAATGTTATTATTATTACTCTTTACATTAGTAATTTATAATAGTAATTATTCCATTAGTTATTTTGTCACTAATATTTTATTTTATAATTGTAGATTTTAATTAAGTAATTGCTGATTTTATTTTTTTTGTTGATGGTTTTTTGTTATTTATTATTTTGAAATATGTTAAATACTCCCTCCGTCCCAAAATCCGTCCCAAAATTAACTTCTCACTTTCCTTTTCGGGCAGTCCCGAAATTAATTTCACACTTTAAAACTTTTCTTATTTGGCAAATAATCTACATCAAAGTGCCAAACAGTGTCCAAACAGTGTCAAACAGTGTTTAAACAGTGCACTCCAAAAGTCCAAAGTAAAGTCAAATTTATTTTCTTAATCTGTGTGAAGTCAAACTGTGAACTTAATTACGGGACGGAGGGAGTATGTAGGTATTGTCATGACAAATAGACGAAAATTTAATTTGGAATGTCAAAGAGAAAAAATAAGTTGAGAAACCATGTGAAGCTTTGTTTCTCACACGGGCATCTATATTCATTTTACTACTATACTTGGACTTGAATTTTACAGTCTGATCTGGTTGTTCTTATAAATATATGGTCTGTGTGTATTTTATAAATATCAATATCTGGTCTGGTTTGAAACTGAAAACATTCTAAGTAAAAAAAATTATTTCCTATATAAATCACATTATTAATATAATACACCGCAGTATGTGAGTATTAAGCGCCTAGGGCCTCTAATATCCTAAGGCCGCCCCTGTCCAGGAAGATGGGATCGCATGGAGTGCTTTCTTTCCGATGGCAGCTGGTGAAACTTGAACAAATTCTACGTTTGGCTCCTTACGGGTGGCCGGACAAACCGGGATGTTCAATAATTTATCTGAGAAATATTGTGATCGTAGCAGAAGTAGTCAATTTGCAGGTAGAGTCTACTTCTTTGCGATATTAACGATTCAACTTTTTCAATTTGAATTGTCTGTTTCTATGTATCACCTCATTGTAGCCTTGAGATATATGATTGTAATTGTCCTTGTTATCTTTATCCATAATAATTAAGTTATTTCCTTTCAAAAAAATAATTTATCAAAAGTATTTGAAGATAAAAAGTTTAAAAGGTACACATCCACCAATAATTTTTGAAAACCTTATGTCTTGTTTAGTCACATGAATCTTATGAAATAAAGATTTGGTTTTTGAATTACAATTTTTATCAATCAGGGAGGGTCTTCGTGAGTCATGAGGATTTTTCTTAGTATTACAATAGTATGTATCATATTATTTACTTTAAGAATAATACTATCCTCCGTTTTTTTAATCGCAATATGCTGAATTTTACACTATTCACATGTTCTACTTTGACTACATTTTACGCTATTATTTTCTGAAAAATTATTTTATAAAAAAATATTGTTCAATTCATCTCATTACAAATTTTCAAAATCTGATTTTTATTTTTTTTATTAATAGAGATTAAGATATAATTACGATCAAAGACGTGCGTTGGCAAGTCTGAAATGTTGACCGTTGCAACTAAAAAAAAATGGAGGAAGTATTATTTTTTTTTTTTTTTGGGAAGGAGGAAGTATTATTTATATTGCTAATTCATATATATATATGGTGCATATATATTATATTTGTATTAATGCTAAAATAAGTTAAAATTTATTGTCATGTAAAAAGTGTTCTTAGAAAGTAAGAAGTAATTGAATTATAATTTAATGTCAACAAACATTTATAATAAATACTCCGTATTATATTAAGTACGTCTATATATTAATTTTTAAAACTAAAAGTTAAGAGGGGCGAACAAATATATATCTAATTTTAAGCATGAAAATTTTAGGAAAATATTATACATATAATAGAAAATTTTGAAAGTCCAAAGAGGGCAGTCACACCCCAACCTAAGTGGCCCCCGCCCCCCTAAATCCATCGCTGCTTCTTTCTCTCTAAAAAATCTCTCTGGTCAATAAGTGTATGACTACCGAGCCAAAGTTTTGCTAATTGCTTGATTGCTTCCCATGGAACTTCAGTATATCTTGACCCCAGGGTTTTTAGTGTGTTCCTAGGACAACCAAAGAAGAAGACACTTTAGACGAACACTACTGGATTCGAAGTTTCAAACCGGAAGAAGCTCGTTGCACTGCACAAACATTAGCTATATGTGCACAGGTAAAAAGTGTTGGTATAAACATACATTAGTTGTTTGGGACAATTTGATTTACGATGTTTGATTGACGATAACGCAAACAGATCCTTGTCCGCACTAAAAACAAATTTAGGAATTGTTTTTTACATATTCAGAAACTACATTAAAAGCTTTACAAAGTCACAAAAACCAGAATCAAATTTGATAAAAATTTGATATATACATTAAGAGATTAAGATTGTCTGGCACAATCTTAGCGGGACGGAGGGAGTAACTAATAGTTCTAGAAAAACCAAATAACCCGTAAACTCGCCTAGGCTTCGATGGTTTAAGAGTTAAGACTTGGTCGCGCCTTGACACGTCTTGCGTTTTTTATAACACTGATTATATTATCTTGCCGAATGGAAGAGTTCTGCCTATTGCCTAATATTAAAAATTCCTACATCCAGGTTATGTATTACTCAATGTTTTTGTACCATATAAATGCAGTCACAAATTAAAGAAAAAATATTCAAATAATTTCTTGTTTAGTTGAATGACTCAAAGTAAGTAAAAGAGTTTATGGGGTTTTAGCATGAGTGACAATACCCCAAGCTAATAATATAGTAACACTAACAATGAATTTACTATCTAATTAAATAGCTAAGTAGAAGGAACTAAAGAAGTAAACGAGAGATTGAGACAATGGTAAGGGATGATAGTGATGAAATGAAATGGAAAGGTGGAGAGGAAGACCGGACCAGTATATCATTGCCGGCAAGATCATTCCAAGTGCAACAGATTCCCACCAATGTTTTGAGCAACGACAACTTCGGATGTTTTGCGAATACCGGTAGTAAAGTCAGCAAGCCCCCTAACTCGAAATTCCTTCCAAACAGGATCTGCCCCGAACTTATCAGACAAAACCCAAAGAGAAAGTGTTCCTTTCAGGATCAGCAATGCGATTTCCCCAGTTGGAGTAGCAGTAATAAAAGTCTTGTCTCCCTCCAGAATCCCTTCCTCTAATGGGATGGGGAAAGCATACTTCCTCCAGGAAGATGTCTCCAAGCTCCAAGCAATAACCTGCTTGTTCCAGTTGACATACATGAAAGCAAACCGCCCGTCCAATTCTACCCACGAGGCTTTTCCGAAATATGTGAATGTTGCCGGAGGAAGAGAAATCTGGTGGAAACTCTCAGACCTAACATCGAATGCCACCAGCTCGGAGCATCCGCTGCCAAACAGATACTCCCACTTGCCAGAACAACAAAGCAGCTCATTGTAGAAATAGATCACACCTTTAATGCAAACACTATTCGTGAAACGTCTACTAAGGTGAAAGAATACAGGGCTGACAATATCCCGCCACGTTTCGTCCACGCCCAGTGTGAGCACCCAGCAGTTCATTGTCCTCAAGTTAAGGTTCGCTTCCGCTTTCAAAACCTTGTATGTTCCCGAAACCCCGTCGTAACCCAACAGCGCACAAGAACGTGCGCTGCTGGACGGAGTTGTCGGGAGAGTAGTATGTTTTCCTGTGATAAGGTTAAAAACAATCAATTCGGAATGCTTATTGAAGAAACATATTTGATCTTTGGCAAAAGACATAGATCTGCCATATTGGAACCATCCTTTGCCCGTAGGCCTAACAATTTTTGCTCGAAGGATCTCTCCGGCCTGATTTTCTTCATAATTTAAGGTGTAAAACTGCTCTCGCCCGGAGTCGAGCATGAGGGGCCCGGTTGAGTCGTGATAACCCGTCATAATCTTAGACTGAATGGAGAAGAGAATGGTTGTGCCGTGGTTAAGAGCCGCAGACAAATTTCGTTGAAACTCGGCGAAACTTGGATCGGTCAATATGGAACGGAAAGATTTAGAAACGCAGCTCAGCTTCCCCCTTGATTTAGCGCCGAGTCGAACCAGAATCTGGAAAAGGATGTCTCGGGGAAGAAGTGAAAAGCTGTAAGAGACCTCCATGGCTATGGGTTAACGTTGTAGTAGGAAGATGTATTTACCTTTCCCCTCTTGTTATTAGATCGGCTCATAGGCTTATCGTCCGTGGTCAGGACTAGACTCTGAGTTCTTGTTGGACTATGAAAATAGGAGTGGTTTCAAACGGTCCCCTTTTCAACTAAAACCAAATAACGAATCAACATAAAAAGTTAGGTTCGGTTTTATATTCAAAATTTTGGAATCACGGTTTGTTCGGTTTGGTTTATTTCGGTTCGGTTTCGATTTTTTTGATTTTTACCAAAATATTTTTTGTAGATTAAGAATAAAACGTATCATAATATTAACTTAATTAAACCATAAATAGTAAATGTCAATATCTTGCAAATCATAATAAATCTAGTATCAAACATTTATTTTCTAGAATTAAGAACTAAGAACTAAATAAACTATTATAATTAATGATTAATAATTAACATAACAAGTTTTAAAAACAAAAACGGTTTATTCGGTTCGTTTTTGAAATGTGAAAACCAAAACCGAAACCAAACAACTACGGTTTGGTTCGGTTTTTTGCGTTCGATTTCAATTTTCTTGCGGTTCAATTATTTTGGTTGCGGTTCGAGTTTTTTCGATTCAGTTTTCGGTTTCTTCGACCCACCCCTAGAAGGAAATAACCCGAAAATCAACCTTGGTCCGGTTCGAATGATGTTTTGGTCCATGTTTCTTCTTTTTATAATTGGCCTGAACAAAACAACGAACTGAATCTGAAAGTTTGGGCTCATAAATAGGTCCTAATATCTATAACCTGAAATGCTTAGATTTAATGTAAAATCAATACAATATACCAATACGGAGTATAATTTAGAAATAATTCCTAATATATGTGTATAATTATGGTGGATGAAAAATGATTTAACTTTTAGTGACTACAACTATGTTCAATTTGTATAACATAATGACAATAAAAAATATATTTATAGTAACTTTAGTTATATTTTTATACAAGCTATATATAATTAGTATGTAATAGTATATATTTTTAGATAAACCTATATTATTTATTTATATGCATCTTAAACAAAATACAACCATAATTATTTATTTTGCATTCAAATTGTTAGTGATTTTGGAGACTAATATTTGTGTTACTATTTTTTATTTGTATTTTTGATTAGTTTTATGTGAAAATGAGTTTTAAAATATAAAAGGATAATGACATGGTTTCACATCCAGGCTTTAACCGACTCCACCCGAACCAGCACTACTAAAACCTGAAACCGACGGAATACAATGTAGTTTGTTTCGGTCCTTAATTTTCATAACTCGACACCTTACAGATAATTTCCAGGTTTAGCGAAACCCGACCCACAACGGACTGATACCACCCAATACCGATCATAATCGGGCCCGAGTCGAGCTTCATAAATGGATCCTATACGTTGTTTTTTGTCATATAGTCATTAAAATTCAATGATTGATATAACAAAAATGCAATTCTTAAATTAAAATCTTACACAATAGAAAAATGTCATTGGATGTATTAAAAACTAATTCAGTACAACTTGTCGAACATTTTAGATGCAAATGTATAATCAAGTTTGCATAATGTATGTTATCAATGAATTATTTCTCAATTGATAGCATAGATCCAGTCAACCTTACTTGAGACATGATTGAAGATGTATTCTACGAAGTGACTATTTTATTTGAAATCAAGTACTACGTACGTATTAATGTTTCCGGTCTGATTTTGAGTTAATGATTCAAAACTTGATTTTCTTTTCCAAATCACTAACAATATATATTAGTAATTTTTAATAGCCTAATATAATTTTATCTACTCTTTCCCATTATTTCACAATTTTCTCTATAAAATACAAAGCATTAAATTTAAGTAATTTTGAATTGAGAATTCCATAATCTCAATACTGATAACACTAAATAAAAAGCAACCAATAATCAACTAGCATTTAAAAACTTACAAAATTAGCTCATTTGGCATTCACACATGAAAAATTAGTTATACATCTCATTAGCATTTAGCAAATCAATATAAAGTTACAAAATTTCTGAAAATACAAAAAAATAAATAAATAAGCAAATAAAAAAGCATAGACTGATTGATAGTTTGATCAAACTAACTATAGAACCTCGAGCCTAGAAGAAAATAAAAGCGAACTGTCCAAGGATAAAAATAAGAAATAACTAGAAAATACAAATGTATAATACTAATATATATATATATATATATATATATAGGTGAGATCACATACAAACTAGTCTTCCCATGCTAACCTACAAACTATCACAAACCGTGCATCTTTATATTATTTGTACTGCATATTGAAGTTCAAAGTGTTGCATATTATTTGTACTGCATATTAAAGTTCAAAGTGTTGCATATTATTTGTAATACATATTGAAATTCACAGTGTGCATCTTTACATTATTTGTACTGCACATTGAAGTTCAAAGTGTTGCATATTATTGAGTTTGTAGGTTAGTATTTTAAGCATGGTTTGTATTTGATCTCTTACCTATATATATATATATATATAGAATTTTATTCATGTCCGGAATTCCGGACAGGAACCGCCGTCCGGACGGCGGCGTTTGGCCGCCTTCCCGGTGATATTTTTTGATGAAATTTTTATGGAATGTTCTCCATCAAGTCTAGTTTATCCACAAAAAAATTCAGCCAAAAAATCAATCGGGAAGGTCGTCAAATGATTTTTGCAAGTTAACTCGTCCGGAATATGTATTTTCCGGACCAGTTAACTTGAAAAAATCATTTGACGACCTTCCCGAATGAGTTTTTGGCTGAATTTTTTTTTGGATAAACTAGACTTGATGAAGAACATGTCATAAAAATTTCATCGAAAAATTCCACCCGGAAGGCGGCCAAACGGCGCCATCCGGACGGCGGTTCCGGTCAGGAATTCCTGACCGGAAGAGTTCTCTCTCTCTCTCTCTATATATATATATATATATATATATATATCGGGAGCGGATCAGATGAGAAGTGCCCTTAGGCTGAGAAGCTGCGAAGTTAACTTATAAGCAAAAAACGCGAACTTTTAACCAATAAATCATAACTTATAGACCCCCTCAAAAATAATTACGAAAATGCCACCGCGTCAAAAAAAAATTCCAGGTTTCCGGAGTTATTTTGACGCGGTGGCATTTTCGTAATTGTTTTGGAGGGGGTCTATAAGTTATGATTTATTGGTTAAAAGTTCGTGTTTTTAGCTTATAAGTTAGACTTCGCAGCTTCTCAGCCTAAGGGGCACTTCTCACATGATCTTCTCTCTCTCTATATGTATGTGTATATATACATACAGAGGAAACTTCATGTCAGGCCGGCCTGACGGGCTGCCCTGTCCGGCCGAGCCCGTTTGGGCACCTTCCCGGTGGACTTTTTTGATGAAATTTTTTGAGCATGTTATTCATCAAGTCTAGTTTGTCCATACCAAATTTCAGCTCAAAATTCGATCGGGAAGGTCGTCAAATGATTTTTGCAAGTTAACTGGTCCGGAATATGTATTTTCCGGACCAGTTAACTTGCAAAACTCATTTGACGACCTTCCCGATCGAATTTTGAGCTGAAATTTGGTATGGACAAACTAGACTTGATGAGGAACATGCTCAAAAAATTTCATCAATAAATTCCACCGGGAAGGTGCCCAAACGGGCTCGGCCGGACGGGGCAGCCCGTCAGGCCGGCCTGATGAGAAGAGCCCTCTATACATACATATATATATATATATATACACATATATAGTACATATCAAAATATATAATTATGGAAAATTTTGTCATGTTTTCTTCTCATTAAGTAAACTTTTAGATTTTCTTTCTAATTTAGTATCACGTATATTAATTCTACTATATACACGTTGCATGAGAATTTAATTTAGGTTAGAATTCAAACTACATTAATTTAGAACTACAACATTAGAACTACATTAATTCTACTACATTAATTTTTTTCTATATATGATTCTTACCTTTTAAATATTGTTATATAATTAATGTTTAAATAATCTCAATATTCAATTATGTCTCCCAACCATCATCTTAAAAAAATCCGATTTTTTTGTTCCTGCATTAACTGCTATTACCTACACTTTTTAAATAATCTTAAAATAATCTGGATTCATATTTTGATCATGTATTATTATAACAAATAATCTCATTAAATAATTTATGTCTCTCAATGATACTCCTTTAAAAAATATGCCATGTCATTTACTTAGGATGTTTTTACTTGGACTGTAATTTGTCCCAGACCAAACCAGACCAGTTCAGACCAGACCAGACCAGACCAGACCAGACTTGGATAGTTATAAAAATACAAAGAAACCAGACCTTACCAGACCAGACCTGACCAGTTCAGACCAGACCAGACCAGATCAGACCAGACCAGCAAATTACAGTCCAAGTAAAAACATCCTTAACCTCTTAATAATCATATCCTACCAATGGGGATGCCCTTAGAACCCCTTTTACTACAATAGAACTCATGTTAAATTGTCAATAGAATTCAGATCGAACACTAGAATTCATGTTAGAGTACTAAGTAATTATAAAATTTAAAAATACAATTATTAATTATGACTTTTTTTTGTGTTCGATCTGAATTCAACAAAATTTTGTACATTATTTATGTAAAACTTTCTCAATATTCATAGACCAATCATCTATCATATCAGACCAGGTCAGATCAAATCACAATTAAATAGACCTGATCAGATCAAATCAGAAAATTTTAATTTCATTAAAAATATTTTTAGAGGAGCCCTATCTAAATTTTCGAACTTAATATTGAATTAGAATTCAACAAATCTTCTAAAACAATCTACAGATTCTAATGTCGTGTAATAACACTAATAAACGAAATAAGGATGTTTTTAATTGGATTAAAATATTCGGATCTCGATTGATCTGTTTATGCCTCGTCTGCTCTACTCTGGTCTTTTTTTTAATCTGATCTGGTTTGAGACTAAATTGCTCCAATTAAAAACATTTTAACACGCCTAGAACTCAACCCCTATATAAAAAAGGTTGTTCATCAGATTGATATGTTGAAAACAGAGGTTATCATACATGACTCTTATTTTTTCTAGAA